CGATGTCGCTCTTCAAAGAGACCGCTGGAGTGGCCTCACGAGAGGGCCCCGCATAGGAGACCCCACTCGGTGTCGTTACCTCTGAGATTCCTCCAGAGGCAGCTCCTGACAGTCTGCTAATGGCCCCGCTCTTCTTGCGAGGAGCAGTCCACAGCGTACGGTCATCTTCCTTGTCAGTGGACTCGTCGTCACTACTCTCGTTGCCCTGCAACAAGGTGTGAGACTTCCCACGACCATGTGAATGGAAACAATAAGGACGTACCTCATCGTCTGTGTCTTTAATTACCATATCCACAGGGGACGCGGCTCTCTCCGGCTGTTGAGGCGTGGGAGGGAGATTGTCCCAGTGCGCTCCATCGAGGAGCGACGGGACGGGGGCTTCCAATGCAGACACCGTGAATCCATAGTCGAAGGCAAAGTCCTCCTCCTCCTGAGGGAAGGTGGAGGGGACCGTCTCCGATGCCGACTGAGTCGTCGCCGGAGTGTCTGCGACTAAGACATGCACAGTTTCACCGGTAGGTGGGGGGGTCGTAGCCCTCCCCGAGAGGAGAGCCAGTACTGCCCTCGGTACGTTCACACCACGAGGACGTGTGGGTTATGCCAGACGCGCTGGCTTTGTGTTCGCTGCCACTAGGGCGAGCGTTGTAGTTCGTGGTTCGCGCAGTGCCTGCCACTGCAGCACTCGTCGAACCGGGTCGAGCGGTCGAGGGTGTCTTGTCGGCAGGAGGGCCCTCGTTGCGGGTGGGGGGACGGGGGGAAGGGGTCAATAGTGGTGGGCGTCTATCGGACATGATGGTGGTACGAGGTCAAGATGCGGCGCACATACAGTGCCAGACAGCCAAACACGACAAGTTTGATTCTGAGTCCCCATAATATTTTGGGCACAAACCGAGTACAGATTCAGACTCAGGGACGCGAGAAACGTCGAAAAATGACCTTCCGATGTTCTTCCCACGAGTTTTTGGGTGTGGCCATTATTTTGGGGTCGAGCACCGAGACTACTGAGTGCCGCCTCGGGCTGGCTTCAGCTCAGTATAGCATCTATAGACATCATCGCACACTGCCCAACCCTCCTGTGCGATTTCTGCTTTCGCACAGCCCACTCCGCCGCTTTCCCAGTTAGTCCCATATGGTACGCGTCCATGAACCTCCACGAACGGTTGAAGAACCGGCGGATTACCTCGACTGGGCATGCGTCGAGACATTCCCGCGCGACCCGCTTCACTTCGTCAAACTTCTCCTTGTAAACCTCCCGATACCTGTATTTAGACCAACCCCAGTACTACAGATAGATCAGTAAATGCAGTCAACTGAGAACGCGAATCCGTACCATCTCAATGGGATTCAGTTCACAGTGGAATTTCGGCAGAAAAATGTGGCCACGGCCCTTGATCTTGAGCTCCAGCAGTGAGTCTTGGAGGCGGAAGTCATCTTGCTTGCTCAGAAGCCGTGCCATACAACAGTCCGTATTCTCGAACGGACAGACAGGCGAGCACTTTGCCTTCATGCCAGTGACGTTGAAGCCGCGCTCCTCAAGTGTCTGCTTCAGGCCCTTCGCCTCGCCGCCGTCAGTCGTCATCTTCTGAACCCTCCCGCGGAGCTCGATAACTGGGTTATTCAGTGGGATGACCGTGTCCTTCTGCTTGCGCTGTTTACCGCCGTTCGACTTGTTCATATCAAAGTTCATGCATGGAGAGTGGTTGTGTAATCACATGCATCAGACTGTGCTAATTTTTAACCGCTCATGGCCGTTTTTTCTGCGCTCGCTGATGGCACTGTCGAACTCCGCTACTTGAAAGGAGTCGATTGCCATTTTTTCGCGGATTTCCGACGAGAATTCGGGTGCGGCCAATATTTTGGGGGTCAGAAACTATAGTGTTGACTTTTGAGAGACAACGGCTCGGTCGATTTGACTCGGAGGTATCTCAAAATGATCCTTGAGCCAATCTGCATCTTGTCCGATACCTCCGGGACCACAGAGAAATGGTCGACTAATATTGTCGTGTTAGGCTGTCCGGCACTGTACCACGGATCGCGACCCGGCGTCGCCTTTTCCATTGTCGATCCACAGACGACTGACGTTCCACTCCGGTGCTCTGACCACGGACGAAGGGCTGTTCTTGCGCTTGAGCACGCGTACGCCTCCACCCGTCTCCCCCTTGTCTCGGGCAGGTCTCTTCCTCGCCATCCCCTAGTTCAAGTCGGCGCCGAGCTTGTGGAGGACGGTCGTCCTAACCAATTGAATCATGGCCACGCTCACCTACCTTGACGTCTACATAGGCGACAAAGATGTACATGCACGCGAGGAGGCAGAATACTCTGCAACGTGCGTGCTGCTGTCAAACAATGCGCACATATATGGGCTCCCTCCAACACCTCCCGAGCTGGCAGAAGAGCAGCGAGACATCCTTCAGGAGCTCGACGTTTGTAGCTCACGCTGGATGGCCCAGCCAGTGACCTAACGTACCACCCCGACAGAGCTCCGTGCAGATGCGCTTCGAGCCCCCGCCGCCGCTCCTCGCTGGCCGGCTAGTGTTCGAGCTCGATCCGTCTCCAGGTCTAGCGAAGACAAGAGCCAACTTCACCGCGCTCTGCACGGCATCAGGAAAGTGTCGAGGTGTCTTACGCCGCCTCAAACGTCTAAGGTGTCTCATTCTGGCCTATTGGGCCTCATCACCTCAGCAGAATACAGGCTTCGTGGTCCACAGCAAATATTTTCCGAGTCACAATCTCACATTGAACCAATACTAGTGTTATTAGATGCAGTAACTACTCAGGGACATCAGAATAAATTTTGATGAGCATGGTAATCAATCAGTTTGTTCACCAAATAAGCACGAAAAGCGTCCATGCTCTCCGAAGATTGTAGCTCCTGTGGAATGAATTGATCACCATACATAGGTGCAAGGTGGGCTGCCCGGACAACGGTGTCCAGATGAATCACTTCGCAGGGTCGATGTCCATCATCAACACTAGCTGGAGAGATGAGTAGAGAGCGTAGAGATTGGAGTTGGTGAGTGATGCCGCGACCGGCAGTGGCACAAGAGACTAATATTGACAATCAAGGGCTGTTATCGGGGACGTCCCGGTTTCATCCACCCCGTGCTCAAGCTTAGCAAGCATGTGTGTTGCTTTGGGGCCCTCCGCGCACGACAGGACCCAACCGCTCCACCATTGCCCCTCCTTCCGCCCGCTCCCCCCTCATTTCTAAGTCCCCTCGTTTTCCATCTCTTATCACTCTTTCTCAGTTTCCTGTGTCCATGGCTGGTCCCTCGACTCGTCCAAAGAACAAAGCTCAGCGTCCAGGCGCAATAGTCAAAGAATACTCACAGCAACATCGCTCAAAGGAAGAGCTCGATGCTGATCGTAAGGCTGATGCAGAGAAGAAGAAGGCGGCTGCGCTGGTCCGCAGCGGTAAAATCAGTAACCTCGCGGAGATACAGGAGCATCTGCGACAGCGTGATGCTGCAGAGCAGAGCAGACACACACTGACTCTGAAGGTTCCACCGAAGCATCGACAGCAGCAAATCTCGTCAGGTCCTGGGTCTGCCAATGCTCAGGACGATCAGCAAATGTTGGAGTCACCGCATGAGCTGCCCAGTGTGGGCGAGTATGAGGGTATGTACAGTACATTCTAAACCCAGCCATGAAACTGAATATATTGTCAGCCACCCTACAATCCGACAGTGTCGCCGGTATGGTATTTGATCAAGCTTCTGAGCTGCAACATTGACACTTCATGACCGGGACTTCGTATGTTGCAGATCTCCTTGCCAACCCACCAACAGCAGCCAGTATGCCAGCACCCCTTGCTACCATTCATCTGCCAGCCCAGGCAACACCAGTGGCGAAGGCCACACGGAAGGAGAAGAACTCAAACAGTGTGCGAAGGCACGACATTGAAGCAATCACAACGGTCAGAAGCATATGTTTGTTTCTGGTGTGTACGTTTACTAAGACTCCGCAATTGCTAGGCATCAACAGGTAATAGATCTATGCTCTGTTGTTGCTCCGAGTTCATTATCTGACGTTCATTATGGCAACAGAAGCCCCGCCTGAGCAAGAGGTGCGTGGCCACCCAAAGCATAAGATGGGAAAAGACCGGGACAACATCACGTATGTATTCATCACCTCTACATGACATTGACATGGAAGCGGCACTGTCATCCTGTATACCGGCGGGTAACAGCATGCGGGCCCCTGTTTACCAGTGGGTAACAGCGCGCGGGCCCGTGTTCACCGCAGGGTAACAGCGCGTGGCCCCTGTATACCGGCGGGTAACAGCGCGCAGGTCCCTGTTTACCAGCAGGTAACAGCGCGCGGGCCCGTGTTCACCGCAGGGTAACCCCAAAATCGTGGTTGTGTGCTGCTCACATGCGCGGTATGTCAGGATTTTGTGTCCTTGCTTTGTTCCATTACCTTACAGTTGCCTACTTCCGCACCATGTTATCTGTAATTCTGTTGTTTCGATGACTTGGCAGAACAGGATCTTGACAGTAGAGCATTTTACGGACTCGGACAAGACTTATCTCCTGCTGTCTAGCTCAAATCTATATTCAATTTTGTTGCATTTCTTTGCGGTCCAGTGGCATGCCTTAGTGTCTCGTAGTGTCTCGTATACATGTTGTCTATGCACCTAACTGCCTCAGTAGCCTCTCAAATGAGAAATAATCTACTCAAACGAGACAGCCCTGAGACAGCCTGTCTCAAACGGTCTCATTGCCTCGTTGTCTCAATGAGGCAACATAGGTAGGTGGCGCACTTTCCTGATGGGGCGAGAAGGGCATGTGCAAGCACGCACCCAACAAGAGGCTGCACTATCTGGGTTGCCCGATCCACCGGATAGTCAAGGGCTTCGTCGCGCAAGGTGGGGATGTAACCAGAGGCGACGGCAGCGGTGGTGAGGCAAGTACACATATCGTCCCGGCAGTAACTAGTGTGACTTACCCGCAGTCCATACACCACAGTCGATCTACGGGGGGAAGTAGGTAAAATATAATGGGCGTTTGGCACAGTGGTAGCGCGCACGCTTTGCATTCACAAATGTTGCGTGAGGTCGAGGGTTCAAACCCCCCAACGTCCACATCTTTTGCTGCTTTCACTCCGGGAAGATTGAAAAGAAGATTGAACGCCTTTTTGTGATCACCGCCTCACTGAACAAATGTGCAAATCAAGTACAATTCTATCTTGTTGGGCCAGGTTCAAAGACGTGAGTCACCGTGTTCACAATCCATTTACAATAGGTATCGCTGTCCGGAAGATTGGACAATGTGGACCAGCTAAAAGAAAACATTACTGCCGTTATGCATGGACATTCAGGGGATTGAACCCTGGACCTCACGCAAGCATGCCAGCCAGGCAAGAGAATGCGAAGCGTGCGCGCTACCACTGTGCCAAACGCCCATGTGACAGAATGGTCCGATGTTCATGGTAGGGAGTCACACCGGGTAGGTCCACACGCGGCGCGCCACAAGCGTGTCTGGAGGACTCGGACGGTTTCCTGGACTTCATCATCCGCCTGCACCGACCATGGACATAGATATCATCGAGGAGAACGAGCAGCAATATGAGTCCGCGAGGCTCTCCGGCAAACGACCTGCAACGTTACCTGTCGACGAGGCGCACCCGTTCGAGCTCGAGACAATCAGCTCCGGATACTCAGGTGAGGGTGTCCCATTGTGCATGCAGCTTGAAGCTCATTGTCCTCAGGACGATGTGCTGTTGAACGATACATTCAGGTTATATCGCAGTGCCAAGCACTAGCCCTTCCAGCCTTCCAAGCCGCACTTGAGCTTGTCTTGAAGATGAGCGACACTGCGCTGTACCGCTCGCTCCTTGCAGCGTATGACCAGCTTGCTACTGGGTCGGACGGTGACCTACCCCCTCTTGCGGAGGTCCATCCTCTTAATCAGGATTGGATCGACGAGGTCACGCAGAAGAACCAAGCACAGCGCATCAAGCTCGAGACAGAGCTCAAGACATACACGAGCAACATGATCAAGGAGAGCATTCGTGTGGGTGTGTCTGCGCTCCCCGTAAGCCGAGTACGTGCTCAGTGGCCACACATGTAGATGGCGTATCGGGACTTGGGAGAGTTCTATCGCGCCACAGGCGATCATGCTGCTGCGCTCAAGCATTACACAAAGTCGCGTGAGTTCTGCACAACTAGCCAGCATGTCTTGGAAATGTGTCTATCCGTTCTGGAGGTGAGTCTTTTCCCTCAACATTTCTATATACGGCAAGGTCGACGCATCCGTTCGTGCAAACGATGGCGAAGGAGTTCCCAGCGCGCTTCGCTATGTCTCTGCAGTGTTATGCAGTCTGTGGTGTTGACTCCATACACCCAGCTGCTCATTGAACACCGAAACTACGCACACATATCTACGTATGTCTTCAAGGCGGATGCTGCGTTAGATGCTGCGAGCGCTGCTCGGTCGGGGCCTGCTTCGGGGCCGACTGCCCCCGCAAACGCAGCAGCGGCGAGCAAGGAGAGGGTAGCGGTCGAACGAGAGAAGGTGCAAAGCAAGCTCGACATCAGCATGGCGCTGTCACATCTCGGTCAGGGGAACTACGAGAAGGCCGCCCAATCCTTCCTCAAAGTAGGCCCCGTCAAGTCTGTGGGCGACTGGGTCGGGACGGTGAGCGGCTTCTCTGCAGGCTGATCAGCGAGGGCGGGGGCTAACACTGGACAACGACAGCTAACCGCCTCGGGCGACGTCGCGATTTATACGACCCTCTGCGCGCTGGCGACATTCAGCCGGCAGCAGATCCGCTCTCAGATCCTCGACAACGACAACTTTGGTGTGTACATCGAGCAGGAGCCCTACGTACGCGATCTGCTCGAGTCGTACATGGGCAACCGCTTCAAGCTCATGCTCGAGACCCTCGAACGCTACTCGGTTTGTACACCCACTCTCCTAGGTATCAATGCACTGTGTTTACTCGGCTGACTGTCCAGACGCGCCATGCGCTTGACCTGCACCTCGGGAGCCACATGACGAACATTACGAACATGATCCGCAGTCGCGCCCTCGTGCAGTACTTCCAGCCGTTCGCATCCATCAAGCTCGAGCGGATGAGCACCGCGTTCGGGTGGACCGTTGAGGAGCTCGAGCGGCAGGTCGTCGCTCTTATCCAGGCGGGCGAGATCCAGGCGCGGGTCGACCGTCAGAACAAAGTACGTGTACGGACCGAGCATCGGTTCTAACTGTGTTCACGATGTTCTCCAGATCCTGAAGGCGAAGGAGACTGACCAGCGCAGTGCGCTGTTTGCGCGCGCGATAAACTCGGGCGAGACGATGCAAGTCGCGAACCGCAAGTTGCTGCTCCGCATGAGGCTGTACGTTGGTGTTACTTTTGCATACATATGCAGAGTGCTAACCCAGTGTGTGCGCTAGTCAACAAGCAGACCTCGTTGTCAAGGCGCAGCGCGGCCAAGGCGGAAGCCATGCTGGCGACTACATGCTCAGCGATATATACAGCATGTAGAATCACCATTGTACTGATATCTCATCCCTAGCATTGCGAGTCCGTAGCTGTCGTTGTTGTAAACATTGGAATGAAACTGCCTGTAGCATGTGCCATGATTGCCAACAACAAATTCCAAGCAGGAGAGACAAGGAATATGTGAATGGCAAGGTTGCTCATGCATTGACCTCGTCGAACCGTTTGTATGAGTGCTTCTCGTACTCTTTTATCTTCATCCTCCGCCTCGTAGGCCTGATTGGGACAAAAGTCAGTGAGCAGAGGACTGAAGGCTGCATGACGGACGTACAGCACACGGACACGAGGTTCTATGAGTGCACGTTGTTGCATGCTCACAAACCGATCACGGAACAGGTTTCCTTCAGGCTGTCACAATATGATCGGTCATTCTTGCCCAAGACTAGATCAACCAGACTCACCTTCAGTGCACGCAAACTCTCGCTGAGGTCCTCGCTCAGCTGTACATCCACCTCGCCCTCCGGCACCTTATGCTTCCCCAACCGCTGTCCATTCAACCCCTGCTTTAGCTTCTCCTGCATCTCTACCTGCCGCTGTGCACGCAGCCTCTCCCGCGCCGTGAGATCCCGCCCGAGGGCCTTGCGCAGGCCCTTTGCGCCGTCGACAGAGGCAAGCATACGCTTATTGGCTGCACGCTCGGCGAGCGCACGCTTCTCCGCGCGCTGCCGCTCCGCCTTCCGCCGCTCCTTCTTCGTCTTCCTCTCTGGCATCTTCTTTACTGGCGGGAGGCCCTCCGCTTCGTCCTGCGCCTCATCCACGTCGTCGATCGGCTGGATGGTCATCCCCTGCGGGACGCCCTCCTGTGTCTCGAGAGCCGCGGCTTCACGCGCGACCTCCATTCTGCGCTTTGCGTCCTCGAGCTTCTTCGCCTCTTTGATGCGGCGCTCTTCAATTTCGTTCGCGGCACGGAGGAGCTCCTGGTGCGAGGTGACTAGCGGGTTGTAGGACGTGCCTTCGTGCGGGGCAGGGACGGCAGGGACGACAATTTGGGAGCGAGGATGAGGTGTCTTTGGCTACACTCTTTCATCAATGGACGTCTCATGCAGAACAGAAAAGCAAAACGCACCTTAACAGTTGCCCCCAAGGCAGGAATAGCCTCCCATACATTGTATGTCCCGCTGTTTTTCGCAGCCTCACTCACTTCAAGCAACGCGCTCCCTGCACCGACCTCCGTCGGGTCCATGATTGCGTTGAACGGCCCCTTCCGCGGCCGCTTGCCCACTCGAAGTAGGCGATCCTTCTCGCTATGTGTCAGCACCTTGCGCTTCAGTGGGTTAGGTGTTGTGCGAGACAAGACGGCGGGCACAGCGGAGCGCTGCGCAAGAATTTTACTCGACATAAGGAGCTCCTTGGAGAATTTGGGCTGTGTCCGCCGGACTGACCATTGCTATCAGCCTCGTGAAGCATCATCGCAAGGTTGTAGCACACCTTGTTCGTCGCCCTTCGCATCTACTTGGAACAGCTCCTCGTCCTTCTTCGTCCGCAAGACAGATCTGCGCATGGGTTCAGCATCTTGAGTGGGGCCAACCCAGATTCCAGTTACAATAAGTACTCACCCAGTCACTCTTTCCTCGTCTCGTAGCTCTTCTAGCCTCCGCTCGACATCCTCTATGTTTACATTTTTGCGCCATGCCTTTTTGCCTTTCCGACTCGTCTGATTATGTTGTGCGGGTGCCCCCACTAAGGAGACTGCTTTCTTCACGCTAGAGTGCGCTCTATTAGGGGTGATGGTCGTCACAGACATGGTCAGCCAAGCTAGTCGTGAGATTGTGGCAGCGAGCAAGTCGTTCCGCACTATGGGTCTAGGAAAAGTGTAATGTCTAAGGCGGACGTATATTGGACGATACAACCGAAAGGCGCAAAAGAAATTACAAGCATTAATGGGGTAGTGGTAACCTGGGTCGTTGCCATCGACCCGCCGGGGGTTCGATTCCCCCTTAATGCAATCACATGTGGGTTTCACTATTTTGCTCTTTACATCTTGCGTGGAAGTCCTTGTTATTTGAATGGTGTTCTGGGTTCCACGATGTTATTATATTGGCAAGTTATACCTACTATACGCACATATGACTTCGACGAGGAGGAGGAGGAGGGGGAGGAGGAGGACCACCGACCGCGAGCGCGTTCGCATTATCTAAGTTAGCAGGTTGAGTGCAGTCATAAAATAAGTCACACAATGTATCGATACATGTTTTAAACAGTCTATCGTAGAGCAAAAGAGTCCAATTTCACCGCGAGACGCATGTTCATTCCCACTTTCCACAGCCTTGCGCGTGGACCGCACATCATCAGCAATGTTTATTGTGTCATGGTCGTGACCAGCGGGACAGAATTGGGGCCGTTGGTGTTTGTGCGTACTTTATGCAGGCTACCGAGGAGCTGCGGTGAGCGCAGATCAAACATACATCGGCTTACGGTACGCACTTCTCGAAATGCGACCCCCGTTTCGGGTCGGCGCGGCGCTTCGCCATCGTCTTGCGCACCTTCTCTTCCGGCCGGACGACAATGATGGGTACGGGCGAGTGACTCAGGCAATACCTAAAAGCACATAGGTCAGCAGTCAGTTTAGGCAGAGGGGGAACACTCCCCACCTTGACACGCTCCCGAGCTTGCCAGGCGTGCCGAACGCAGCCCCCCATGACTGGATCATGCTGCGCTGGCCTCGCGTACCAACGACGATTGAGTCGGGCCGGTAGAGCGAGATGAGCCGGTCGATGGTCTGTGGTACCTTGCCCGCGATGTACTCGACGATGATCGAGAGCTATATCCAGCATCCTGTCAGGACATGGCTAGTGTGCAAAGGGTATCGTGAACGCACTTTCCGGTCTGGGTCGCCCTCTACACACTTCTCTTGGATGTACCGCATCAGCTCGCGCGCATCCTCACGGTATTGGGCATGA